TGTATTTTCTGACAAATACTTTTATCAGACACTGCTCAAGTAAAGCCAGGGCACATTGGAATCCTTTGATGTGTTCCCAGAACTTGCGGAATGGCAGAACCAAGAGAAAGTTTTATATGAAAAATCATTTTCCTTTCTTACTGAGACAAAAAACATACACAACAGTTATGACCTTTGTGTATCCCCTTCACCCATGTCAATTAGATTGGAAGCTTTCCTGTTCTGTCAGTTGTCTTTCTTGAAATCTTTTTGGATTAATGGCTGTGCAGAATGTTCATAAAGAGCACAAGAACATGTCATGTGACTTTTTAATCTTCCTTGTTTTCAAGCCTGATGAAGGCTTCTGATGAAGAAGCCTGATGAAGGCTTCTATACTCTTCAGTTCCCAAAGACAACACAATCTCTGGTCAGAAGAGGACAGCTAACACCACGGGACTTATCAGAAAAACTGACCCCACAAAAATCAGACAAGTATCAATCTTCAGATGATATTATAAATGTATTATAATATATATATATATATATATATAAATGTTTTATGTGTTATGTATCAATTTAATATTAAGTGTTAATAATGTTGATATAAATATTAACAGTGCTTCATCTGGCTGTAACTATTTATATAGGCTAGACTCAGCTCCCCAGTTCTACCCACCCCTCCTAATGCAGATGTCTATATCACTTTCTGTGGAATGTGTTGCGCTATTGATGTCAGTGCCTTCATTCAGAATAATACAGAGCGTGAACACCTGATTGCTTATATAGAACTGCAACTAATGAGAAGGTGCTTGCTGGGCAGTCACTAGTGAGCACGCTCAGGTTTCTGTACACAGTACTCCTATATCATCATAAACATCATTTAAAAAAAAAAAAAAAAAGGGAAAAAAAAATTCCTCCTGCCTATCAAGACCCAGTAAAATACCTCTATAACTTGCAAATAATATGTTCTTTCCAGGAGAGAAAGGCATAGCCTCTATAAGATCACGCTGAAAGCAAAAGAACCAGACTATCTCAGAGCATGATTACAGTGCATGATTCACTATCTGCCCTAAATGGTAGCCTCCCTTCCATGGCTGGTGCTAGAAAAGATATCTCGATCAGTTCTGCAGACATGTATTCACTCAGGAGGAGTTCCTCTGACACAGGATGGGAGAAATAACAGATAAGAAGTCAGTAGAAAGGTACCAGAGAAGACACTCCTAAGGATTCACAAAAGAGCATGCCATAATATGGAAACCTGAGTTGGCTCCATCTTGAGAGTTACAGTTCAAGATTAAGCAGATGTGTGCTTCATCAAGGACCTCCTTACATTTTCTCAGGATATAAGGGACTCAGACAGGTCAATGCCATAAAGGTATTCTCATATCTTCCCAGTAGAAGAGGGAGATCTTTCTTTAGGAAAATGCAAAGCAATGTCCTGTCATGATCAAAGAATCTGGCAAAACATCCATCAGTGTTTGAACAAAGCTGGAGCTTCTCTTGTTCCCTTCCAGTGAGCACTTCTAATTGTGTATTACAGAGCCGTGTTCTACAGAGGATTTTTCCATTCAATCAGGTATTCTGATAGTTTGTACCATGAGAAACATCTGGAAGATTTTGTATGCCGCAGTATGTGCTATAACAGTCTGCAGAGAATTTTCTCATCCTATTAAAATTCAGTGAGTTTTTAAGCTTCAAGAAAGAAAAAAAAATAACCCCAACACCAGAAATTAATCTTTCATGTAGTAACGTCATGATAGAAATGCCTTAAAAGAAAAAAAGAAAGAATATGATTTTCTCAGTCTGTTCTTATACCCCTAGGCTATGGTGATAAATGACATATTTTCCCTCTTTCTGTGGCAGTGTTAGTGTCGCTCCTTCTAGAATAACTCCATGGTACAAATAACAAGATAAAAATCACTTTCTCCATGGTGGGAGCTGAACATTGAGTATTAAATTGAAAAATCAATGGTTGTCATAAGATTATAGTCTTGTGGAGCAGGGAAAGGAGACATCTGAGACCAGCCTGTAAGTCTTAAGAAGTAAAATATGAGACTTCACAAGCTACGCAGTACTGGCTTCACCTACAGAAAGTTTATGGTGCTTAGGAAGTCAGTTTAAGCTGTCTATAGGTTATCATCTCTGATGTGCCCTATGTGATGACTGAAGGGTGTAATATGTACCAGAACTTTGTGATGATATGAAGCTGGTAGGGTATTTACCCGAGAGCTGAAATATATCTGGTAATATAGCACTGCCATTTCTTCCAGAAAAAAAAAAAAAAACAATCCAAAAACAGTATTATTGATCCTGGTCTTTAAAATTCTAGAACTCCATATATTTACTAATTAAGAGGGAAATTCTCCTCCCACCTCCTTTTTTTTTTGCTAGTATCTAAAAAAGAAAACCTTTATTGTGATTTGCACGAGCAACTTATTGTATGTATAGCAGGGAGAGAGCAAAGTAGCTGAGAAGGTAGGTAAGTGAAAGGATCATTATACACTATTACTTAGCTTTAAATGTAAATTGTAATGCATCCTATATCAGCAGAAGAGAACTTATATTCATTTTAAAAGTGGAATTGAGATAGGCACTGCTATCTCAACCTGAGCAGGTAAAGAAAATTTCAAGAGCAGATCATATGTCTCTAATAACTTCTAAACTATCAGAGAACAAAAGCTATCTCAATACCTTCTTTCTAGTCTTTACATTCAAAAACTGCCAGGTATTGAGGTCCCACAAAAGAATAATGATCCTCAAGCTCCTGGCGCATGAGTGTGGCTGCCTTCTTTGGTGACCAGATGAGCCTGACTTTGCTAAAAATAAACATATACACACACACATGCACACACTCACACACACATGCAATCGTGAGATGAGGTGAGTGGAAGCTTCTGCTCAGGGCACTCAGGCATGCAAGATACGAGTACCATATATCAATAACATATTGGTCCTGTGGGCCTCACAGGCTGTGCGAGCAGCCTGAGCAGGTGTTACAGTATACAACTTACAGATGTTATACAAACATCTGGTACCTCTTGTCTCATGCTGGACCTGCTGATTGAGATACTTCAGAGGTACTTCACCTTCTATAAGCCCTTTATATTGATACACTTGATGGTCACTGTGTTCCCTTCCTTTCTTTTGGTAGAGTGCAGGAGAATGGATTCATAGACCATAGCAACACTCCAAACGCTCCCTTAACACAGGCATGCTTACACACAACGCACACCTTGATAAGAAGGATTAATATGAATTGTCCTGGTGAAAATGACAGATCAGAAGTAAATCTAATAAGAGATATTAATTTAAAACATTTCTACTCTATGTGCTTGCATAACTACACTCTTCTAGTTAAACATCCAGTCTCAGACTAGAAGTGTTACAGTGCCAATGACTGCTCAGATATGTCACTGGTCCAGCATGAACCTGGATGTGACAATCACAGCATGCAGTCTTCCTGGACATGACTTGTTTTAAGATAAGTAATGTTATATTTCATTTCCTTTTCTCTCACTGGCTTATCTATTTATCCCGCAAACCCTTGTATACATATGCTACATTTTGAAGCCGACCACTCTCTGGTGGCATTTTACATACTAGCATAATGAAATGAAACTAATAAAAAGAATGGTGCATTATCTATTTCTGAAGACTAAATGTAATGCTAGACAGATATTTTTGCTACATTTTACTCAATATCCCTTCACAACTCTTCATTCTTATCTGTAAATAGCTGTGCAAAAAAAGACTGCTTTTTGTATATTGTGCAACCCATTTGGGTCTGTAACAATGGGAGTTTTAAGAGCACGAAGTTAGCTGGTCTTGCAGTTTATTTTTGAAAGAACATTTTATAAACTCAGACTTTCTGTCTCCTGTACTGAGCAGACAACTAGATATATCATTAAATTATACAGACACTGGTTTACTTTTCTGAGACATTTCACTTTTTTTCTTATTTGGCACGATAAATTCAATGTCACTTAGAAGGAACAATCCAATCCTGAAAGGTGCAGTTTAAATGTAATTTGAAAGCATTTTTGATAAAGCTCACAAAAAGTGCATTGCTTAATTCCTCAGCCCCTTTCTCTAAAACTGTTTAATTTAACCATTAAAAATAACAATATGGACAAAGATGGCTACTGCAGGAAAAAGAATGAGAAATCAGAAGCCTAATCACTAGACTGTATATATTAGTTACCCCAATTCTATGGTTCTCCCTTAATGACAGTATTAAATACCTAAAACATATAGTAAATAATTTGTCTCCAGTGTACCTTAAAATACACATATCCCCAGTTGTCAACGGCTACCTGGTTCCCAGCCTTCCTGTTCATTCAGCCATTGACTTATTTTGTAATGACTTCCAAGAACAGGGCTGAGTAGTGCATACTGCAGAAGCTGTTCTAATTAAAGCTCTTCTCTACGAGGTTGTGAATTTCATATTTTGGTTGTAAACTGTAATAACTTGGGCTCTTTGTTGACACAGCTGAATAGAATGTGAGATTACTTTAAAACCTCTCAGGACTAGCCCCTCAAACTCTTGCCAGTTCACTTCTCCAAAACTGTATTTAATAATATACACCTTAAAAAATAAAAAAATAAAATAAAAAAAAAAATTTCCCCCCTAAATATTTTCAATACAGAAAGACATTTAGGCAGAGTTGCTACTTTGTACTAGTTATTGAAAGATATTCTAGAGACAATTTACTGGGGGTGTCTAAAGGCTTTTATACTAGAAATTGACCAGTTATCCAAATATATATTTCTCAAGTAGTTCTTCCTCTAGCTTTTCACCTAAGGCCAACCGTCTTGTTATGCTCCTGATGTTACATCAATATAAATACAGAGAAGGCTTAAGCTTCTTGAGAGGAGAAAGGGAAGCTGAAGAATCAGTCTTACTTAGAGATTAAAATACTTTTCTATATAGTCAATGAACGTAAAGATGTTATAATTATGAAATAAACAAGAGTGTTTAGCAAAGATTATAATAACAAAAAGAGAATAAATAGAAAGCTTACCTGCACCCTAGGCTCCCTGCAAAACTCCAGAGGAGGGATTTTCAGATAAGACCCTTTCCTACTGGTAGTCAGTTCTTAAATGGGTCTAGGAGAGCCTTCACCTGTTCTCCCATGGCTGACTCATCGCTCGCCTCAGGTGATCAATCAGAGGTTCAGGCCGTGATTCAGCAGTTTCCATACACTCTTCCTTGGGTAAAGAGTTGCTCTTTAAGCATATCTACAACAATATGACTGACTTTGAAGTAATAACAGCTCAATCCACTACTCATGAAATGAAGTGGTGGCAACTCAGCAAGCCACACTCAGAAAGACTGTCTAATTTGAAGTGAACTATTTTCTAAGGTTTTGAAAAATATCAAGAAAACTAATTAGGTAAGAAAATAAGAAGTCAAAACCTATGTCTAGTGTCAACATCTAGATTTTACTCACTAATATACCCTAAAAAAACCCACCCCTTTCTCTGAGGATTCACAATGAGTTTAAGTTTGGTAATCCCCAGTCAGATTTCTGCTATGTGTATGTTTATTAACATAGCACATACTCTCATCCAATCTTCCCTCTGCATTCATTTTGTTTACCTTTTTTGAGGCATGTGTTTCACAAGTCCTTCCACATCAACAGTCAAAGCAGTGTGGACCTTCAGCAGTGTACTGAATGGTAAATCCAAAACTGGGAACAAGACTTACCTGCTAGAATAGAGATGATGATCTACTCATGATAATCTCAGTCTTTGAGTAGAATGTGAGAGCAAATGGGAGTGGAAAGAGAGTGAGCAGATGAGACTGGGGAGATATCACATAGTAATACGGATATGAAAGGCCACACAGGAAAGGCTAGGCTGGACAGATAAGGCCAAGCAGTAATTCAGGAGTTGGGTTAGAGATGAGGAACTGCAGGGGAAAGAGGCAGCAGGGATCTGAGAAACAGGCTAGTGGAAGTTGGAGCTACTCAGTATGTTTGTCACTAGGCTGCTGTCTCATGCACTTTTTGTCCACGCAGCTTTCATAGCTTCAAGGAAGGGAGCTGCACTATGATAAAATGGCTAAGTGATAAAACTGTGTAGAACCTGCAGGATTTCTTCTGGCGGCCGCTGTAACAGCTTGATTTGCTTTCAATTTACTGTATAGTGCCTTCTGTGAAAAAGTTATAGCTGGGAAGCAAGGAGGGTAGTTGCTTATTTCTGGATGATGCTGACTGACTCCTGCACCACCCTTTGTAGGCTTCCTCTCTTGAAAGCAAGGCCAGGAATATAATAAAACTGTGTGGGTTGATGAATAAGAAACAGCCTGTAGCTAGAAAGTATCTTGAGAAAGGAGTGAGGGGAGCTTTTACAGATACATAAGTGACGAAGCAAAGGAAATTCAAAGCTTCAGAGTGGAATAATGGTAGTCACTGATGAAAATATCTCGTCTTTAAGAAAGAGCAGGAAGGAAGGACAACTGCTTTCACACATTAAGTTCTAATCTGCTTCACTTGATTTGAGGTTTTCTATTTGCAGGGCTAATATTTCCTGCTGAAATGAAACTCAAGAGTAGAAAAAGGAAAAACTGATTTTTAAAAAATTTATTTTTAATCTGCTTATCAGGTGGGCATTCTAACTTATTGCTTACTGACTAGGGATTTGTCACAGCGCCTTTAGAAGCAGAATTCAGCCAAAAGAATATGACATGTGTACCTGTCTCTTAAAGTAATTAAGAATTATGTTTACATTGAAGATACAGACTTGTTTCAGTATATGACCAAAAATTAGCCAGTCCAAACTCTGCATGATCAAAGCTCCAGAGAGCATTCTGGTATTTTTTGTTGCATCTTTTATGGTGAAGATAAAGTATACCTGAGAATACCTCTTGGAGCCACAGGTTCAAACAATAAATTGGACAGAAGTCTTGTATGTCTTTACTGAATGCTCTAGATCTGTATTCACTGTCAGCTGCTCCTTATTGCTGCCTCCTACACGTTTCCTCTGCAAAAGGAAGAAAATATTCAGAAAAGTCCTTTTGAATGGGGCACCACTAACAAGAAGAAAAATTCCCAGCTGGCAAGTCTTTCAGATGTTAAGATGTTGCTGATTTTAGTGCTGCCAAAGTACATATCTGTTGAAAGGTCCTAGGTGCAGATCACAGAATAGATGCATACACTACCAGAGTTCAACAGTGATCAGAACGTGGAGATCCTGGAACAAAAATTTTAGGCATTTTAAGTGGCAAACTTGTATTCCTGCGTGGGACTTAGCCTTGAGAGTTCACATTGCCTTTCATTCCTGTATTGGCAAGTTGAAAAGTCAGTTATATAGATAGCATAAATTGGTTGATCTTTTACATGTTTGTTTAAAAAAAGCCTTTCAAGCAGCTAGCTAATAGCAAATAATCTTTCAAGTTATGCCAGGTCTCTTTCCATTTCAGTTCATTTGTCAATGCAGAAAAAAACATAGAAGAAAGCAGCTTCAAATGAATTTTAGTTTAAACCTAGTTTGGGTAATATCCCTGCCAATACTGGTTGCAGTGAAAAGATTCCAGCACAGAAGCGCACTTGTATGCTACCTGTTCTTACCTTGTACAGCTTCAAGGTCAGCTGACATCATCTCACAGTAACAAGGACCCACAAGTGATATCTTACAGTTTCTAGTCATCTTTCTTTGAATTACTACTTTTCAGTGCAAAACAGAAAGTTTCTGCTAATCACAAGCATCAGAAAATTACTATTACTAAAATACATAGCACATTATGGCAACAACCTAGCAACAGTTATTTTCTTTTGCTTAAGACAAGAGTATTGTAAAGGGAGAAATATTTCTGAAGTTCAGCAAAATTCAGCCAGCTAAGTACTAGGTTATATAAATGATTTCTAAGGGTCAGTAAAATTCAGTTGACTAACCAAATACCAGGTTGTATTAATTACGATATTAATATTGTGTTAATTAAATTTTCCAGTTACTAATACTGCACAACTAATATTAGTGTGAAAAAATATAAAACTCTTTGAACAGAAAGAGTCTGACAGAAAATCCATGCAAGACAAAGTAAATGTTGTCAGTGGACTAGGTCAGTTATTCAACAGAACAATTCATTAGAAGATGCAATTCACAACTGTCAATGGCAGACTGTTTTCTATATATCTGCTATGTTGAATTCACTCCAAAGCCAGTACTTTCATCTCCATAAAAGACTCACAAAGCAAGTGAGTGAAAACAATCTAACCAGTTACTTTACTTATCAGTGTATTGGTGCTCATATCTCAGACTTCATTAATTTGGTTTTCAAATTGTACCACTTCAGACAAGGGTTCCGATGGAAGAAAAATTGATCTTAAACAAAAACAAGGAGTTGTTTGACAGAACTAAATCAGACCACTTAGTTATCCTGGAAATTATTTGTTGATTCTACATGAAAGTATTTCTGCTTTTACAGAAAACCGACTCCCTCTTTTAGTAACAGAGAAAACTGCTCTACTTTCTTGCTCTATTTTATTTTACTGATATACTTTATTGTTCTAGCTATTTTATTTATTTAATTAATCTTGTGGACACTGAGTTAATGACCCAGAACAAAACATCCACATGTTAAAAAAGGCCATGGAGAAGCAAGAATGATATAAGTGTAATGAGAGTAGTTCTTGTCAGGATATCAGCTCAGAGTATATGTTTGATTTCCTATCATTCTTTACTACAGTCTGCTAATTCATGTGATATCTACAAGACTACTTTTCCTACATGAGGATTATTTGTCATATTTCAGCTGCTACATTGTGAAAATGCAAGGCTCAGGGAATTACAAACTCAAATGAGAACTTAGGCATTCTTTCCTTACCAAATTACTTGCAAATGATGATAGAAAGATAGGAAAACTCATTTTCAGTAATGTGATATGAAAGAGCTAAATTAATGGATATACAATTAGAGAGAAAAGAGGATGATTATAAATAAAATATCTTTCATTTAGATCTGAATATGTAGATCTGCTTTGATGATTTAACAAAATGTATTGCCTTTTCAGCATAATATTAGTTCATAATAATATTAAAAATATTTCAATTCTTTGACTGGGAAGAAAGCCAATCCTAATCACAGCCCCAGTAAGTGTGCTCTCATCCCCTTCTGTGTTTTATATCCCTCATATTAGTACAACATTATCTAGTTATTTATAGGCATTGCTAATACAGCACAATCCTCTGGAATGTATGTTATTTTACCCTACTCATGCTCAAGAAGGGTTGCTGCAGTCATTTTCTTTATCACCTTATTAGCCATATAGACACCACGTAGTTTTTGACAGTTATTGTAGTCAGTAGTGAACAGAAAAGGAAGGAAGGAAGAAGGGGGAAGAATTGACAAAAAAAAGGGCAGAGAATGAAATAAAAGAGTCATCCTAATAGGAAGAAAAGCCATTTCATACATTTTATCTGTTCCCGTTCAGCTTGAGGAAATCATCCTAGCTCCTTCAAGGATAATAGAACTATATAATCTTATGAGAATTCAAGCATAAGGATAAAACATGAATGATTTGCTTAAATACCCTTAATGAACCTTCTAGCTTCCAGAATGATGTATATAATCTAGAAGTCTGAAATGCAGACTTTTCCCAGGTTGAAATAATACCATCTCTTTGAGTGAAAGGAGAGAGACACAGCATGAGCCTGAAATAACATAAGCTGAAAAGAACTTTAAAGGCCCTCTTAGTCTATTCTGTCCAGCATTAAGTTTAATCACTGATGTTTTGTCTCTGATAAAGATTTATGAAGTCTATCTTGAAATATAAGGATGAATCCAGTCATTATGATTCCATAATCAGCCTTAACAATGAGCACCATTAACCTAATGTTTGATACACTGTCATTGTTGAACTTTTCTTTTGATATGCCCATTCTTCCACGTATGAAGAGGACACTAACTTACTTTCTCCTCTAACATAACCAGGACCCCAGGAACTACAGGCCGGTGAGTCTCACCTCTGTGCCTGGGAAGATCATGGAACAGATCATCCTAGTTGACATACTTGATCACATGAGGAATGAGTGTGTGATCCAAGACAGGTCATACTTGACCAATCTGGTGGCCTTCTGTGATGGAGTGATGGCATCGGTGGACAAGGGAAAGGCTACCGAT